CGTGAAAGAAAGCCCAGCACAAATACATCCTGTCCTGTGGGCTGAAGCACATCAGCATTGCTGTGATGAAAAGCATAAAATGGGGGATCAGAGGATTGAAAAATGTCTTTTAAGACAAACATGCTATGATAGCTGGCAGTTACCGTTAGCTCAGTGCAGGATTTTGGTACTGTATTTTTTAGGGGAAACAAAACTGATACCCAACAGACATCAATTCCTGTGAGCTGACTGTCGGCAGCTATAGTCTACAAGAGCCTTCTGAAATCAGTGCAGCTAGAAAGCCTGCATCCAGTTTTCTTACATGTTTTTGTCTGATTTGGAGATAGTTTGTTTCATTAAAGTGACCACACACATAAAGCCATCTGTTCTCTTAGATACTGATGTACATACCTATGCAGTGCTGTCATTTGAAATATATGGCCAGCCTGCTGGAGAAACAGCTGGGTAGTATTGATTTTCCAGACTTCCAAATATTCTTGCTGAACAGTAAAACAACCATGGGGGGTTTGATTGACATTTTAAATGGACCACACTAAATGGTACCTAGGGTTCAGAAGTAAGGCTGAGAATTCATTTCTCTTTTAATTTCATTTTGCTTTCCTAAGCAAGGTTACCTAGCCTCAGAATCTAGGCTAATAAAGTCTACTTCAGATTTGTTTCCCAGTTCTCAGTGATCATCTGCTTTTACAGGAGCTAAGTGTCCTGCATAGGTCATTATAGAGAATGATAAAGAAAGACAGGAACAGGGTCTGCCAGCTCAGGGCCTTATACAGTGACCCTGTCTGTGTGATACAAACAATTGTCTGCTTGTGTTAAAATTTAATTCAATCAGATCCTCCACAACCAAAGAAACTGGTTACTGAGAATTTTTGGCTGAGAAAGGAAGAAAAAAACAGAAGGCTTTGAATTAAAATATAGTCATTTATAATTCCAAAGTTATAGCACACACAGGACGTGTCACATTTCTGGTGAGTATTGAAGGTAACATCCTGAAGGTGAATATTGAAGGCATGAGGCAGTTGTGGGTGTGTTATGTAGGAAACTTTGTCTCGTAAGTCATGGTGCCTGCTCTCCCTGGTGTTAATAGATGAGAACTCCTCAGAACAGGGGCCTGAATGTAGGTAACCTGTGAATCATATGATATGACCATATGTTAAGGACAGGCCAGATGAATAGCACCCTGAGGATATTTATTGCTCCCTACCGTTTGTAGCACAGAGTGACCGTAGATGTATGATGGTGAGATGAATCAAAACACAACTGGCTAAAATGTATTGATATGAGGAGAAGGCCAATGTAATTTCTGTTTCCTGCTTAGATGATTAGTTCATATACGGTCCAGGACAAAATGACTTGGACATGTCTTGAACATTGCAAACTAGCTGCATTCATACTGCTAATTATACCTAAAGTGTATGATTTTAGGCACTTTGATGGCCTTTTGGCCTCCATCTGTTACTCCAGGACATGAGTCCTCTACAACTCTTCTATAAAACCTGAAGTCATAACCTTCAGTTATCTAATCAGATGTCTTGGATACCCTAAGGTGCCTTAAATGGCAGTAGGTATCTGTGTTTAGCAGCTGAATGTCATCCACACTGTGAAAGTTGACACCCCAAAGGCATAATGAGCTTGGAAAGAAAATAATTGCCCTGTCAGATAGAGAGAGATGAATTGTGATGGTTCAGAGAAGCTGGTATTTCTGTGGCCACAGAATCATAAAAAGGTTGAGGAAGAGACCTTCTATCCAACCCCCTGCTCAGCACAGGGTCAGCTAGAGCAGGTTGCCCAGGACTGTGTCCAGCTGGATTTTGAATATCTCTAAGCATGAAGACTCCACAACCTCTCTGAGCAATTTGTTTGAGTGTTTGTCCACTCTCCTACTAAAAAATGGAAGTTCCTGTATTTCCATTTGTGCCTTTTGCCTCCTCCACCACTATCACTGAGATGATTCTGTCTTCTGTGTTCCTCTACTCCAGTCCATCAGGTATTTGAACACAGTGATATGGAAAGGCAGCAAAATAAAAATGCCCTTGTTTGGTGCCATGAACAACTTCTGCTTGCCATAGAATACCACCAGAACAGTATCCACTGTATTGACAGGACCAAAGCTGAAACCTAGCTTGCCAAAATAAGGAAAGCTCTCTACTGCTCATTTACCATTTTAAATGAAAGTAGCTTAAATCATTGTGCAAGAGGGTGCTTTGAATGCAAAGAAGGTTGCAAATTACAAGGACTAGTCAGGGCAAAGGTACTGTGGTGTCTGACTGTGATTTATTTATATACAGGAGGTTAAGGGGCAGTTAGATATCCAAATACCTTGAAGAACCAAGATCAGATTCTACTTAAAAATTTGAAATGTGGTTGTAAGTTCCTCTGAAGAGAATGTTAATGCAGCTAAAACAGGCAGCAGTACTTTTAATAAAAAATCTAGTCTTAGTCCTATGTTCAATACCAGAGTCAGCATACAAACCCCCCTAAATATTGTGTAAGCTTACACATACCTGGAATGCAACTGCTTTACTTGAACTGAATGTGTGTGAATATGTTTACCCTCACAGTAAAAAACTGTTTTTCTAATATCTAACCTAAACTTCTCCTACCTTCAGTCTGAATCCATTACCCCTTGTCCTATCATTGCAGTTCCTGAATTAATTCCTCCTAATGAAGAATCTTGTTGAGAACTGGCTATATTTTCTGCTTTTCTGTATAAAATATAAGTTAAAAACAAAACTGGAAACATTTTTCAACAAATGAAAAACGGATGTATTTGGAAAATGGAAATTCAAACACAAATCCTTTATTGTGGTATCTTAGAAAATAGCGATGATTGTTCAAACCACTACTATGCCCTTTAGAATGATGACAGAATTGCTTATTTTAGGATAAAAGGCTAAGCAGCTCTTAGAAAAGGAAAAGAAATTATTTCAGTTGAGCTTGGCAGATACTAAAATCTCAATTGGATCCCTCTTCACATTATTCAGAGGGGCTGGGCACAGTATTTGAATTATTTGGCATCTTGAATTTGGAGGTCAGGTGGTTTATAATGCATTTACTTGATGCTCTGGCTATTTTGGCTCTGTGTGAAAAGGACCAGCATGGGACCTGCACACGGACTTTCAGATTCTGTTGTTCTCAAGGTGGTGTGCATTTGAGTACCAGTATGGGGGAGAAACTGGTATTTTGCTGTTACAGAAACAAGAATGTTTGTGTGTGTGATGAGATGAGAGATGATCAGCAGTGATCACAAAAGGATTTTTCACAGTTCAATTAGATAAGAAACTTTCTGCTGTGTGTTGGGAAATGCTGCAATGGATATGCAATTTTTTATATCCACTGAAGGGCAGTGGGTCAGATAGAAACAATATATTGGTGAAGAGTATTAATCAGGTACTACTTAATAATAATTTAATTTGGTAGTCCAGAAAAGAAAGCAAAAACCTGTTGATGTTGCAATTTGAATCCAGTCTATAACAGTTTCAAAGCCACGATTAGTTTTTGCTGCCACATACTAGAAATATGTAAATTTCCATTTTCCATAATCTCTCCGATCAGTTACTTTTCTATATTAAAATGCAGTCATAAGCATTACGCATGTCACATATCTGTAAAAAAACCCCAGTGAAAACATTTGGGCAAACATATTTTCTTTGAAAATTTTGGCATAAAATCTTCCCATTGAGCATCCAGTTTTTGTTATCTTTCTTTGGAGATTTTATTTTAATGAAAAATTTTTATTATGCTTTAATGAAAGCTCCAGGCATAAGAATAATTATCATACAAGTTATTCACAGTCATGGTATTCAGTCCTGATCAAGTGCTGTAGTACCAAAGGATGCAATTTATTAAGGATTCTTATCAAAAGAGAGGTGACATCTAATCTCATGAAAAAGCTAAGGCTTAAATGAACAACTGGGAACTACAAACACATCATACAGGGAGTGAGAGCTATCCCTAATTCTAAAAGCTATCCATGAGAATACTGGGTGTTTAAAACAATACTATATGCGAATGCCTGGGCTGGATGACTCTACCCCCACTTTTGAAAAAGTTCCCTTTTTAAAAGTTCCAGATTCACACAGTGATTTTGTTCTAAAGTTCATTGCCCACTCCAAACTAGGAGGCAACTCCTAGCCCAAACCAGAGAAAATAGAGGATAACAAATCTCTACATATAAACTAATCAGATCCTGCCTTCCATAGCTCAGTGAGCAAACACTAGAGCACAGAGACCTCAGAAAATGAAGTAGTCTTGAATTTTCCCACCATTTTAAGCCCATTCAGCTTTTGTCACTGCAAGAAATCACGATGCTCCACTTTCTCTAGTGTTTGCTCCTTTTTTACGTGTTGGGGTTTTTTTTGTCCATTGATAACAAAGGATAAATTATGCTTCCCACCTTGGAGACAGAAATTAATTTAAAATGGACTAGCCCTGAATAAAGTCCTCCTTCAAGGGTGTAGACAGAGAGATAAACTGCAGGACTGGGCATACCAGAATCTCCCTCATTGTCTTATTAACTCTGTCTTCTTTATTGGTCTTGGGTAACTCATGGAAGCTTTGTCCCTTAAGCACCTACATCAGTAAAATGTGATTTATCTACTTGTATTTCTCAAGATTTGCAACAAGCATGAGCTGAGACTCACTCCTGCAAGCACCTGTGCAAATGACTTCCCAGTAAACAGTTGCACAAGTAGTTTTGTCAAGGAAGACATTAAGCACCAACAGACCTCATGGTATCACAGGGTCAGGTCTTTAAGTTGCAAAGCATGCTCAGTATTATCAATAGCAGGTAAGTACCAAGTATTTTGAAAGCATGTGACCTTCGATGAGTCACATCTCTGTTTGTATTTAAAGGAATGTTTCTCAAATTCTTTATGCTTTCCACAGTAAATAATAGCCACAAAGATGAAAATGGACTAAAGCAAGGAAGCATGGGGACTCCAGAAAAGTGAGTGCTTCTGCAGCAGTCCTTGCTAGCATGTGTGTCTTCTTGCTTTCAGGTCCCAGTCTGTGGTGGAAGCTGGCACGCTGAAACATGAAGACCATGGGGAAAGCGAGAACACCCAACCACTGCTGGCTCTGGACTGAGCTCTCACATGCCCAACAGACACAGATCCATGAGCAGACTTCCACCATGCCAGAAACCCACAGAGCACACCACACACACAGACACACACGTGTTTCGACTGATAAGTCCTTTATGTTTCCTGACCAAGTAACAAACTGTCACCAGCCATCTCTGTGCGGCCAATGCTGAACAAAAACTGAGAAATTTCTATTGACACAGGAGTCTGTCCATATACAAAGAATTTCTTTTTTTTTGGACTTATGACATTAAAATATTGGAAATTTTGGGACTGCATTCTCTGTTTAAAGAAACCAGGGTGTGTCAGTAGTGCTCCTGAAGACTCCAGCAGGGGATGCTTATTTTACAGAAGCGAAGGTTAAGGGTGTTTTAAAGAGAGTGATCCCAAATTTAAACTTTGCACTGTCATCAGCAAATGTAATCTAGGTCAGAGAGCAGAATTAGCAGCATCTCAAGCATGCTCAAGTTTTACAGAAGGATTTTACATTTAAAAAAGAAAAGACATGAAAACAAAAAAAACCCAGTGCCAGCACAATGCCATTCAATGTGGCACTTTGTGACTGCCTCATCCATGCTGCTTATAGAGGGTCATGTTTCAGTATCTAGCAAAAATTATTCTTAACTTTTGAAGCTCTTAGAAAACTGTCAGCCAAGTGGAATGAGTGGTGTGGGCAGCAGACGCACACAATTTGAAATGCAATTATTAATTTTAACGAGGTGTTTTTCCACAGGCAACTCAGGAGCCTATTAGACATGTGCGTGTGCATGTGTGTGCACAAGTGACTGGGGGGTGCCAGGGAGACCCATTGGACACATTCACCAGTGATTAATAGTTCAATTCAGGTTGTTTCATTTAGGTCACAGCAGCAAAGAAAGCTCCGCAGAGCCATTTACCCCCTTCCCTCCTTCAGTCAGGGAAAGGTGTAGCCAGAAGGGTATGCTGATTGCAGATGCAGGCCATGCTTAAAATGGAAAACTTAGAACTAATTATTCATACAAGCTTCTGCTAGAAGGAAATGTTGAAGAACAGAAGATCTGAAATGCCAAAGATCAGTTTGTTATTCCTCTGTTTGCTCTAGCTGCAAAGAGAGTACCATCCCTTCATTGAAATGGAAATTGGATTAAAGAAATAAAAGAAAAATCGTTATCAAATTGTATGTGCAGTGACTTTATTTCCTAAAACAGTTACAAACACTGTACACACCTTTAGTCCTCAATTAAATTGCCATACATTGACAATTTACTAGAACAGGCAGTTGGCAACAACATATCAAAGGTAGCAGTAGAAACTGTACATATAATATGAGATGATAATGGGCACAAGGGTTTTTAATGTACCCTTGGAACATCCACTGAATTCTGAAGTGATGATATGGTTCGACTGGACATGGTGAGTCCTAACAGATGGACTAACAAAATATTGTCTGACTCACAACCATATTTTGTGCCTGCACAGGGCAGAAAGGACATCCTACCAGATCATACCAACACACCTCGGATTTACGCACTAGTATTTGTGCAGAATAACCTCATTCAGACTAACCTTCTACTGCAGCAACATGTCATTGACACAAAGCCTGGTGGCCATGATAAAGAATGAGTCTTTAAGGCAGTGGATGGTCCCAGGAAGGCAACACAGGAGTCAGAAAAAGCAGCAGAAGCTTGGAGGAATATTAAACAAATAAGACAATTGAGCCCATTTATCTTTGGGATTTCTTCCATGTCCTCGCCTGACATTACCACCTGTTACAGGAAACTAGGATGTCGAGTCCAGGTGGCAGGATATTGCTCCCTTCCCTTCCCTTTCTTGGGTCCATGGAGATTCAAAGGCATTTGGATTTGTCACAGAGAACTTGCTTAAAGGAGAAGGTAAAAACCCAAACAGACAAAAAAATACAGACATTGGCTTTTATATTGCAGCATTAAGGAAGGAATACTTTGGTTTATGATTTTTCTCTGTTAGTACACTTAAGCCCACTGCCATTGAATCTTTGTGATGACTTGTTACAATCACTGTTCACTGAAGTGGGACTTCTTCTGCCCAAGAAGTGCAAATACCACTGAAATCTAGTCCTTGACAACCAAACATTGCAAAGGTTTAGAAGTATTTATTTTCTTTAACTGTGATATGAATAAATACATATGATGCTTTGTATATAACTGTATGAAACCTGTATTTAACTGTAGGATCTTAGATTCTGTGCAAGCAAGGTAACAACAGGCAGGATGGAACCCACCTCCTGACATTGTGATACATACTGCCTTATAGACTATATTGCCCTTGTCTGCTATTTACTTCTGTAAATAAACCTAACAAAACCAAAAATTTGAATTGCACTGGATCTCCAGTTAAAAAAACATTTCCATTCACTTCTTCCATTAGCATTTCCAATGCTGAAAAGCGTTTTCAAGATCAAATACCAGTTGGCAAACAGGAATACCTAAAATAATATACCAGTTAATCACTGCATAATTTCTTCAGTCTGCTATGCATATCCTCCCCATGTATATAACTAACCCACTAACTGTACCTAACAAAAAGATATGGTCTCAGCTCCCTGACAGGTAGGCATAGAATAGGTTCACTTCAGTGTTGCAGAAGCTACCCATAATACCCCTTGTCTTATTTGAGGCACTTAAGATTTTTTAAATGGCCAATATATCACTACACAATCTAATAAACAGTGCTACTTTGGCACACACACATCTTGGGTAGATTACTTTTGTCTATTTGCCAATTTTATTTATTTGACAATTGCAATTGGAAAAGATAAAGTATGAGCCTTCAAAGGAACAATGAAATAATCTGAAGGATGGCACGGATTTTCATAAAGAAAGCTCCAAAGCTTTTACCACTCCTTCAGCATTCACTCTGAGCTAAAATGCAATTTTAATAAAAATATTCCTAAACCACCAATTTTTGTTTAAAGAGTTCTCAATTCCTTCTTTACAGAATGTGCCTTTATTTTAGAGAATGATAAAACAGTTTATAAATTTGTACTGCTTGATCACTTTGCAAAGATACAAAATGCAACCTCTGCCTTAACAACTACCAGGAGATTTAAACAATATTTTTACTCATTTACCCCCCATGATAATGACTACCTAATTTCCAGTTTGCACATGATTTTCCTAATGATCTCCAAAACTATTTGTATATTTTCTAAAGTGTGAAACTTATAAACCTTTTCAGTTTTCAATATTATTAACGAAGAACTGTTACTTCCTTGTACATTGTGTATAGTCTCAGGATTATTTTTGATACAGACAACACATTAAAACGTAATTATTTTAGCTGTCTAAAACTGACTCTTGATCAGAGAGTTTATCAGTTTAATATTCAAAAAAGGAAATTAAAGTGCACACTTCCAGAAACTGGTTACACTAATTTATGGTGCAATCACCATGTGTTATATATGGCATTACAAGATTTAATTACCTAGTAAAATACAAAATCTGAAAAGCATTCAGTTTATGGGAATGCAAAGCTCTTATCTGTATTTTGCTTCAGCAAATGTGGCATTCAGGTCACAATACTTGGGTACCATCATGTAGTCTCTGCAGTAATAAACTACTGAGTATTACACAAATAAGACAACTGTTCAGTGTCTTCAGGACAACAAAGACAAAGCTATAGAGACTAAGTAACCTCAATGTCCCCTTGCTTAGTGTTTTTCTCTCACAACCCTCAGTAATGATGCCAGGACTCTCCATGAGCCCTGACCATCCTAGCACACCTCTCCACACCCAGCTGGTGTTGCAGGTGAGTAGGTAACAGCCAGATGTAAAGATCAGCAGTGCAACCTCTGGTCCCTCTTTCCTGTTAGTGTTCTTAGAAACAGTGGAGGGTCCTGCACCCTCCATCTCTCATTAAGCAGTACAAACCCAAAAGACCAACCAACTGCTTAAAAATCCAACCAGATTTCTTTCTGGAAAATAGGTCTTTTTACCACATAGTAAATACTGTAGGGCAAATACAGAGCATACTGTAAACAGTACTGGGATCAGACTACTTCAGCATTATGTCATACACTTCAAAACAAGGAAAACACCATTAGGTCAATTAGAGGATCATTCTAGCACTCTGTAGGATGCTGGCAGTGGAAATTAATACAATTTAATAACCTGAAGCTCTTTGTCTGCTCTGCATTCTGGCAGGAAACCAAGTTAGACTTTGTCCTTCTGCCCAAAGCACAAGAAATTCTTCACATATTTTTTTTTTTCTGCTGAATGACCACCCAAGGGCAGCTAAGGAGGAGCCCCTGGAAGGAGGTGCCCCAGACCCTTGCTGGGGAGAAAAAGGATATCACAACAGAAGACTTTGTAATGATAGGAGAAACAGCAGTTCACCACACAATCCTAAAAACTGTCAAGCGCTTTAAGATCTGAGCCTATAAATGTCACATTTGCTCAACATTTTCCACAATCGCATTATCAAACTGAAGGTTGCCTGCTAACTAAGAGAACTATTTTGTTTTAGAAGAACAAAGCTTCACTAGGCAGCTGATTATGCAAGTTTCTGTTTGCATTTCCAGGAAGGCAAAAGGAGGCCACACTTGGCAAAAATGATATCTGCTCATATATAGTGTTTTCCTTCTGCTAATAGTACTTGTAGATCTATTGTTTGTTTTCATTGTTTTAAAAATAGTGGTTAATTAAGAAGATTTGTTCATAATTAAGCTAGAAAAATACAATTACTCAGGTAGAAAAAGTACAAAACACACATAATCCATTCACATTTTCTACAGTGATAACATAGGGACATGCTCTATGCCTAAAGCAGCTAACATTACAACTGCATACTGATTTTCAAAGTCGGTTGTGTGCATATGTTTGCAAATAGAATTGTAAATCTGGTGCCCGAACATGGTTGAGCAGATGAGTGAATGACTGGTTTTGTGCACATAATATAGACACAGCAAAAACATCTGCACATTCCTCAGTTTGAAAATCCAGACCTATTGCTTTTCGGCTGACACAATTCGTATTTTCAAACTTGCAGCCAGAAAAACAATATACATCAGTGCTGTATCAGTATGAAACAAAACATGCCTTCTTTTTTTTTTCCTTTTTTTCCTTTTTTTTTTAAAATCAAGTCCTCTCTGATTGCAGACTGTCAACTTTATCTCTTCTTACCATTAAAACACTTGTATACTTCGTATGCTGGATAAATTAATCCTATTTGCATACTCCAAAGGGGTTAAAGATCCTTCACTCCACACATCAGAAGGAACCCCTTAAATAGCAGGAAGGGTGCGTCTCTGCTGTGCCGTTAACTCGGGGTGCCACACATCCACAATGAATATCAGGCGATAACTTTCAGCATCCTGCCATACTTCATGTTCAAAAGAGTCATCAAAAATAAGAACTTTCCCTTCTTCCCAGGCTCTGCAACACAAAAAAGAGAACATAGTTTAGTGTAGTATTTGGAGGGTCATGGGGCAGACAAGCTATATACCAGCTGTGAGGATGCTCTTTGACATACAAGAAAGACTTAAACAGCACAGATTGCACAGTCAAGAGTTTACAACCTAATATAAAAAGATTGGAGTGTCAGAGGTTTGATGAAAACAAACTACAGAAAGATCATTCTAATGGACCTTCATACTGCAGTGGGATTGTTTCCCCTCACTGTGTGTAGCTATGCCCACAAACACATTCAGACATTTATGATATATGTTATTTACATATTTTTAACGAGTTGAGTCCCTTAAGCAGGGAGCATAATATTGGTGTAATAATCCACTTTTCTTCTTGTCGGGTACATTAATGATGTACATAAGTGATGCAAACTGAGGGAATGACCAGTCCTATTGTTTGAAAAGAAATTACATCAACTCAGTTTGCTTTTTCTAAAAATCAGAACAACAGAATTAGGTCCTAATCATGCTTTAAATTTCTGGGATATTAACAGTCTTGTCCCATGCATGCAAAGCACTAAGTCTAAAGATTTCTTGAGAGAAAGGTTTCAATGCTGTAGTGTACACCAGGTTGACTATACTGTTAAAGCTGAACTGGAAGGGTGAGACCCCATAATTTAAAGCCCCTCTGCTTGCCAAGTACTGCTTAGGCAGAGCAGATCACTGAACAGATGTAAATATCCTGAGCAAGAGTTCATTACAGCAGGGAAAAGCCAAATTTTAACAGTGGTACTTTTCCAAGATCTGTAGCTTTGTTAGGCACAGAAAGGGATACAAACAATTTACTCAAAGTGGCTTGGTTTTGAGCACCTCCATCATTCAAAAAATAACAGAGTATGTATAAGTGAGTTATTCATTGGTGGAAGAATTGGTGCTTATGTCAATTTCATGAAGTACTGAATCGCAGAATGATTTAGGTTGGAAGAAAATTTGGAAGGTCATCTGGTCCAAGCCTCTGCTCAGAGCAAGACTCATGAAAGCTGTGAGGTTAGATGAGATATTTAAAATCCAAGACTCATGGCAGCTTTGAGGTTAGATGAGATATTTAAAATCCACTAGTCAAAAATCTGAGATATCTGCAACCACAGGCATTCCACCATCTCTTCCTGTGTTTCACCAACCTCACTGGAAGTTTCTTTCTATCTAGATGGAATTTCCTTCACTGTCACTTGTGTCCATTACCTCTCATTCTATAACCGCACCCCTCTGACAAGAGTTTGGCAGCTTTGAGGTTAGATGAGATATTTAAAATCCACTAGTCAAAAATCTGAGATATCTGCAACCACAGGCATTCCACCATCTCTTCCTGTGTTTCACCAACCTCACTGGAAGTTTCTTTCTATCTAGATGGAATTTCCTTCACTGTCACTTGTGTCCATTACCTCTCATTCTATAACCGCACCCCTCTGACAAGAGTTTGTCTTCTGCACAGTCAGCCATTAGTAGCTAAAGACAGTAACTAGACTCCTCTTTAGCCTTCTCTTTTTCAGATTCCAAACCAGCTAACTGAGTTTCTCTTTGTGTGTCTCATGCTCCAGTCTCCTAATCATCTTTTTCATCTCCACTGAAGTCCCTCTAGTTTATCAAATACTTTTCTTTTTTGTATTGAAGAGTCCCAAACGCGACACACTACTCCAGAGGTAGTGCCTTGAGTGCAGAAGAGAAGGGGAAAAAATTGTGCGCCTCAAACTGCTTCCTACAAACTTACTAACACAGTCCAGTACACAGCTAGCCTTCGTCAAGACAAAAGTCATGTTCAACTCGACACCTAGGACCCTTATGCCCTTTTCTGCAAAGCTGCTTTGTATGCAGTCATTGCTCAGCCTGTACAGTTGGAAGGTGTTGGTCAGTTGTTATCAGCTTTGCATTTGCCATTGTTGACCTTCATCAAGTTTCAGCTGGCACACTTCTCCAGTCTGCTGAGACCTGGGTTCATAATTCTGAAAAGATGTTTAGCACCTGATTACACCCCTACAGGTGAGACTGGTAGAATAGCAGTCAGTCAAGTCAACAATGGTCAAAGAAGTATTCCTTCCTAAAGCCACTCTACAATGAACACATAATCAAGTTAAAACGGAATCTCTTAGGAGCTGAAACAGTCCAAGAGGATTGATGCCCTTAAAAGGAATTAAGCACTATGAACAGTAAGGATGGTAAAGAAACAAAGGCCTTGCCACCAAAGATGGAAATACATTGCTTAAGCTTGTTCAGCTGTGTTCATTCACAAAGAAAACAATTTTCTTTTTTCAAAAACAGGTTGAAAATGAGATTCATACTCCCCATTCATTTCAGTATTTTTAATTCAACAAAAGCAAGAATTAACCAGCAAAATTTATGGGGTTGTGCTGTAATATTCTGAAGACAAATGAAAATTGAAATTGGGTCATTTCAACCGAAATGATTATCTAAACATAGTTTAAGCAAGAGTAGATAAACCAGAAAGCATAACATAATAAAAAATTTCAGACTGACTTGCACACAGATATCAGTTTGAAGGCCCAGATAAACAGCCTTTTGCAGGTTTCAGCTATGATCACGTGGCTTGTTTGGTACCACATCAGTTATCTGGTAATGAAAATGTATTATGCCATATAGATCCTGAGTTGCTGATACTGCAGGAAAGTTACATTGGTTTTATTCAATTCAATTGGAGTCAACCACTTGCAATGCTATAATGTGGTAAGAAAAAAAGCAGACTTTGGATTTTTTGTTGTTGTTGTTTGGTTCATTTTGGGGTTTTGCTTGTTTTGGGAGTTTTTTTTGGGAGGTTGGGTGGGTTGAAGGATTTGATTTTGTTTGGGACAATTCAGTTTTGGTGGTAGTGGTGTTGTTGTGGGGAGTAATTGGGGTTTTGGTTGGTTTGGGTTTTTTTCTGAGTTTTTTGTTTCTGTTTTTATAAATTAATCCAAGTCTGAAAAAAACCCTGATCTAAATAGCCTGAAAGTGCAACTCAGTTAAGGACAACAAAAGCTCCAGGCACCCTGATGAAGTAGCTTCAGAGGTTAAAACCCAAGATCTATAATTTGCATCATAATGGGATGGGCTGTTTTGCACAACAAAGAAAAAGTCATAAAGCTGACAGAACTATTAGCCCCTTTTGAATAGGCTACAAACCCTACCATTAGCATGCAAATAAATATTTTCTAGAGGTCTGATAGTGTGAGAAACACTTCACGGTGGTAACAGAGGGACCATATTCTTCTGGTCTGGTACTGAGTCACTTTGGGGTAGTTTCCGTATCTCCTGCACGGCTCTAATGTCACCTGTTAAAGGTGAGATCTCGGACTGACTTCTGCCTAAGGCTGTAACTTTGCACCTTCATTTCAAAATATGATTACGTTGTCTGACAGCCATGCTAGATTATGACAACTAGATATTATTTACCTACCACGTTTGTACATTGTATCCTACCCTTTACAGAGCTGGGACTACAAAATGGCCCAATGACCAAATCTGTACTAAACAAGAAACATAGAAGCATAGAACAGTTTGGCTGGAATGGAACCTTTAAAGGCCACCAACCCCCTGCAATCAGCAGGGAAATCTTCACCTTGATCAGGTTGCTCAGAGCTTCATCCAGCCTGATCTTGAATGTTTCCAGGGATGGGGCATCTATCACCCCTGTGGGCAACCTGTTCCCATATCTCATCACTCTGTAAAAATCTTCTTCCTTATACCTAATCTAAATTGACCCTCTTTTAGTTTAAAACCTTTACCCCTTGACCTATTGCAACCTATCTGCTAAAAAATCTCCCCATCTTTCTTATAAGCCCCTTTTAAGTACTGACAAGTCTCAATGAGGTCTCCCTGGAGACTTCTCTTTTCCAAGCTGAACAACCCCAGCAACTTCAGCCTTTGCTTATAGGGTATTCCATCTCTCCAGTCATCTTCATGACCCTCAACCACAAGGTATACCAACTCCTAGCAGCTGCAAAAATCCTCTTCTGCAAGTGAAAAACACAGTACTAGACAAAGCCAAGTTGCCTGTCTATCAAAGGATGAGCTGCATTGTAACTGTGCCCCTCTAAACAACCACACTGGGTGCCACAGAGGTAACCAAGCACAAAATTCTCATTACTTCTGTTCACTCTCTCATACGCACAGCAGTGGGACAGGAAGTCAGAAAAGGCATCATGCTAACCTTCATATTTGATCCAGCTCACTTATTTGAAACCACTGGTTTACCACTGCTCTGAACCACCAGGAGAGGAAGAACGGAAATTGTGCAAAGTAGGTCTTCCTCCTGGCACCATTCCCTTTCACAGTAGTTCACCCACCTCCTCTTTCATGGGGAAAGGAATGCAAATAACCCTTTAATTGCCAGTGGTTATTCTGAAGGCATAGTTTTTGCCAGAAGCTACTGATCTTAACACGTTCCAGCCTAGGCTGTAGCCAACTCTTGAATGTTTCACATTTTGAATGAGTGTGTCCGATGCATAAGACTGAGCCAAGTTCAGACACCTGGACACTGACGTGCGCTGTGCTCTGCCTGCAGGAACAGGCATTTTTCCACTCTTGACTTTGAGGGAGTGCTGCTGTCAAGGAGGTAGTTAAGGTCATTCTCCCCAGGACTATCCCTTCTGTTCAGGTTAAGACAAAGAAGGGTGCCAGCCACCATAACGAGTAGTGAGCTTTGAACACCTGTTCTCTTGGCAGCAGATCAAAACCACTACTTCGTTCACACCAGCTACCAAACAGCCACCTAATGGTAAGGCCATTCAGTCACCATCAATCTGAATTCATAATAATGTCCTAAAGTAAAAAGACTCCACACTTCTGTATTAGTCCTCTAATCCAATTAGCTCCTTCGCTCTCCACCCAACTTATTTTGAGGATTGGATTGGAATGCTGGAAGCAAATGTCCATTACTACCTAGATGGTAAGATGAATCACAACAAATAATTAAATAAGCCATTTGCTGGCAAGAGTCTATAGTAACATCACTTTTGGTTATTAACAGTTGGATACTCCTATCCTCAAAAATTCTGAATGTTTCTTGTGTAGTTGTTTTCAAATGTTATTAAAAAACCATATTTGCTACATATTGCAGCCATGCAGACAGGAGTGGCATTTACTGTCTCACTATAAAATTAATCTGTATATCACTACCATGAAAAGAATTCAAAATTAATGCTTGTTGCACCCAGGTGCAGCACATAGGACAAGAATCTTTCCAAATATACATATAATTATTAAACATCATGAGAATTTCACCTAAGTCTCAGCAAATTAAGTCTGTACGCAGAAAGCAATATAGTTAATACCATATTTTTCTGTCTGTGATTAATAATATAATGCACAAACTTATCACATTTCCTTATATTTCTCAGGAGAGTATATGTCCTGATTGCAAATGTATAAGCTGTTGCATATTATTTTGGTTTTTGGACTGAACAGAGATAAAACTGGTCTTCAAGTCAGTATAATTTTTCCCTCAGGGGTAAGAAATTTTACTTAAAATGTACTTTAAAATAAATTGCCATCTGAGTAACTCATTGGGCCAAACACTTCATAGTTGTCTTCATCCTGAAATAAACTTGAAGTCGAGTATTTTTAACTGAATTATAACAGTACTAGCTAAGAAGGAAGCTTCTGCCAGAAATACCAGAGCATCTTGTCACAGTGGTGAAAATGTAGGTATAACTTCACTTCCACTGAAGATGAAATGAATTCTAAGTCTCTTCAAAGTCAAAATAAATGGAAGAACTCTGTAGGCAACAATATTAGACTGGCATTGTGAAAGTAAACACAGACTAAACCCACTGTTTTTTCCATGCCATAGCAGAGGAGGGCAGGTTTGTCTCTAAAGAATCTTCTGGCATTTTTTGAGAACTGATATTTATATGTTTGTACCAGGAATTAGGGTGCAAATTGCCTGTTTAAAAAAATGTATTACACAATCCTGATTAGTAAAACATCCCACTAATTTTTTTAATTATGTGCAGTCCCCTACCTTTTTCAGTCTTGAAGAAAGTGGGAAAAAAAACAACCAAAAAAATTCCCAGCCATACCTGTTCTCTTGGGCACACCGTATTCTGCAGCCTTCCTTAGGTATCACCAAGCCCAAATGCATCCTCAGCCGGCAATTGGTGGGCCCTGTATGGGGCCAGACATGAGTCCCTGGGTGCATGATAGAATACTTGATCTGCAAAAAGAGAAAGGTAGAATTTCAACACATTCTACTTCACAACCAAGCTGATGGGAGTTCAGGAATTTTTTACATCTCAGTCCTGATGATGGGCAAAAAGTGCAATGACACCTTTTGATGGAGTCTCAGCAAGAATTGCTCTTTCTCATGTCCTAGAGGTATTCAATACTACAAAAAACATCTTGTGGGGGTGTGCGCAGCCAGGGTGCGTTTGTGTGCAAAAGCACACATTATTAATTTGCTTAGAACAGCTAGTATTCATATTTGATGCTTAAAATAATAATCTTTTATCTACAATCAGAAAAAAAAACCCCTTCTTTCCTATGGAAAGACTTACAGACGCTCATCATTTAAAAGGATGGACAACAGGAAACACAAGGCTTGTGTTCACCAGACCAGCCAGTTCCTCTCAGATGACAATGAGATGGTGGAGTTCAGGATCATGAGAGGATGGAGAAAGGCAAAAAGCAGAATTACTACCCACAGCCTCAGGAGAGCAGACATGGCCTTATTCAAGGATCTGTTGGGAAAATCCCATGAAAGAAGAGGGGGCTATGACAGCTGGTTCATTTTTTAGTAGCTCCTTGTCCAAACTCAAGAATCCGCATGTGCAGGAAGCATGGCAAGCCAGATAAAATTTAAATACAAAAAGGAAACATACAAGAGGTGTAAGCAGGGTCAGGTCACTGAGGAAGACTGTAGAGACACTCTCTGTGCATGCAGGGATGAGGTTAGCAGAGTCAAAGCTCTCCTGGTGTTGAATCTGGAGATGGAATCAAAGGGTAGCAGGAAAGGTTTCTACAAATACATCAGCAGTAAAAGGAATGTCAAGGTAAAACACGGGCCAGACACTTATTAAATGTGGCAGAATATCTGATGACAAAAGACATGGAAAAGGCTGAGGCTCTACATGTTGTCTTTGCTTCAGTCTCTACTGGTATGACTGACTTTTGGAAATACCAGACACATGAGATCAGTGAAATAGACTGGAGCACAGATGACTTATCCTCTGTGGAGAAGGATCAGGTTAGGGAACATATAAACAAACTCAGCAACCTGGTCCATGGGTCCTGATGGGATCCACCCATGAGGCCTGAGGGAGATGGATGTTGTTGTGAATCCACACACAGTCCACACACCCTTTGAAAGCTCATTCCTGCCAGCAGAAGTCCCTGAAGACTGGCAGAAAGCAAACATTGTTCCTATTGTCAAGAAGGGCGAGTAGGATGATCTGAGGAACTACTGTCTAGTCAGCCTCACCTCAGTCCTTGGAAAGGTGATGGAGCAATAATCCTCGAAATGCTTTTCAAACACATGAAGGAAAAGAATGTGCCTGGGAATAGTCAGCATGGATTTATGAAGGGGATATTGTACTTTACCAGCTTCCTATGGTGAGATGTCTAGCTTGGTGAATATTGTTTATCTCAACTTTAGTAAGATTTTGAACCCTGCCAATAACATTCTGATCAACAAACTGATGAAATAGGATCTAGATAAGTTCTCAGTGAAGTGGATTGAAACCTGGCATTTAAGCCAGGCTCAAAACATAGTGATCAGAGTCACAAAGTCCAGCTGGACGCCACTCATCAGAGGTGTATCCCAAGGCTCAGTACCGGATTCAGCACTGTTTAATAGCTTCACAAATGACTCAGAAGATGGCACAGAGTGCATCCTCCTCAGCAAGTCTGCTGCTGATAGAAAGTTGGATAGAAATGGCTGATGCACTCCTATTTTATGTTTTTTTCCTGCCTTTCATAGGGACTCAACAAGACGGAGAAAGGAGCAAACAGGAATCTTACAATGTTCGACAAAAAGTGTAAAGTTCTGCACAGGGAAGGTATAACTCCATGCGCTAATACAAGCTGGTAGATAACTGTCTGGATAGCAACTTTCCAGAAAAAGATTGTGAGGTACTCATGGGAAGCCCTCATGGTATCCAATTTGAACATGAGCCAGAAATGTGCTCTTGCAACAAAGACGACCAACAGCTTCCAGGGCTGCATTATGGAGAGCTCTGGCAGCAGGTTGAGGGAGGTTATCCTTCCCTCCCGGAGTTGGTGAGATAACTTGAGTGCTGGGTCCAGTTCTGTGCTACCTACTGTGAGAGAGACATGGACATAATGGAACAAGTCTAGTGAAGGGGTATAAAGGTGATTAAGGAATTGGAGAATCTAACATACAAGGGGAAGATGAGGTAGTTGAGACTGCTCATCCTGAAGAACATAAAGCTCAAGGAGGGATCTTATCAATGCATATAAATACCTGATGAGAGGAGTGAAGAAGGCAGAGGTAGGCTCTTCTCAATGGTATCCAGTGAAAGGCAAAGAGGCAATGGACACAGATTGAAATACAGAAAATGCCATTTAAGCATAATACACCACTTTTTTACTGTACTCAGGAACAGGTTGCCCAAAGAGGCTGTAAAGTCTTAATCCTTAGATGCATTCAAAATCTGTCCTGAACAACCTGCTCTGGCTCATCATGTTTTGAGCAAGGGGTTGGACTAAGTAATCTCCAGATGTCCCTTCTCACCTCAACTTTTCTGATTCATTCTACAACAACTCAATGAACAGGAAGTGTGAATAACACATGACAGTGGTGAGAAGCAGCTTTTTGAGTGAGAAATCTGTGCATTTGGCTGGGGTAGAGTAACTTTGATCTTACAGATTAAGGTGTTACTTGCTCTCCAACTGTAACAAAATCAGCAGAAGACAGTGTATGTCTAATGCCTCAGCCATTCTCACCATCTGAGGTTTCAGTTTACCAGCAGTTTCTTTTGACAGCAAGTGATAAGCTCCTGTGGCCATGGTGAACACAGATCCTCCAACCCAACCTAACCTCTGCTACGGCGTGATGTGTTAACTTGATTGCCCTGTCAGACTCTAATGCAGTGCAAGCAACTGCCTATGCAGGACAGTTACAAATATCTAAGATAAACAATTTCTTTTAATGCCAATATACCAGCACTGCAGATTGATTACTGTCATGTATGTTATCTGTCCATGCAGATCAGTCTAGATGTGTGTGTCAGTTACATGTATGTGCTATATTCAAGTGCTATAAATAGTTCTAAACCAACAAGTTATACTATGGTTGTAATGTAAAACTCTGAAGAGAAGAAATGTCTAAAATTAAAACTAGATGTGCTACTTTTAGTTTACTGCTATTTTCAAGAAGAATGATAGAGTTTTAAATAATATGATCACTTGCTACTGTTCTACACAGTATCTCAGTAGCACTGAGCAGGTAGTTGATTATTTCACAATTGTTTTATCTTTGCTACTACACGAGGTGTCCAAAGCATTCAAATGGTCTATCTACCACAGAATTCCTTATTTCCTGGTTGTGTTTGTTCCCATTGCTTCTCGGTGCTTCAGTATGTGAATAGAGATCAGCTGATATTTTAAATTTGATTTACCAGTAAAATCTGAGTCATGGATAGCATAAGACTAAAATTGCCCTAGGCATACCCTAATATTGGAATGAAAACTTAAGACTTCTAGATCACCACTCTTTCAGATTATTTTGCACTTATATGTTCAAAACATATGACTACAGCTACAGCTGTAAATATACAAAGTTTCTGCAACCCACATCATGGTGGTAACGTGTAGGGCACCAAAAAGTGATGGACAAAATTGTAGCTTTCTAAGAGAATTTGTCCTCTGGGACAGATACATTTTGACTATGGATGTCGCAGAGAGCAGTTTTCTTGTTGTTAGACGCACTGAGAGTGATAACCTCTCTCATTAGTTATATTCACTACAACCAGCCTTTGCAACAAATCAATGAAACAATAGCCTTGTTCATTCACAGAACTGCAGTCATCCAGTGTGCTCCTGCACATCAAAAGCAAGAGTCTGGTAAAACAGATGAATGTGTATTCTCAAGGCTCTGAACTAGGACTAGCACTGTGTTTTCCAACTTTTGCATCCTTAATTTTGCTATGTGAAAGTTATTCTCATGTACTCATTAGAGATAAAATATAATAACTTGGAAAAAACCAAAAAGATTCTGTCCTACAGAATCACATGCTAGCTGTGTTGGGCTATTCATTCAGCTGCATGTGTATTGTTCCCTACCATACAAGTCTACTGTGTGATTTAATGAGGTTTAACTCATAAGGGACTATTCAGTGTAGGCAGGCGCCTGAAACAAACTTTGTTGGCACCACAGCCACAACTCATGGATGTAAAATTTCTTTCCCTTACCTTTAGGTAAGAAGCATGTGACAGTAGTACTTCTATTTGGCTACCACAAGGTGATTCTCCTGTCTAATGCAGCCGGGCTAGGGTTGATAGGTAAAGTTTATCACAGTGAGAATCTGGCTTACTGAATTAGTTACAGAATTAGGTTCAGACCAGAAAAAAAATATCAGGTTAGAAAGGACTTAATCCAATCTCCTGCTCAAAGCAGGGCTAAGCTATGAGTCAGAACCGATCACTTCAGACTGAGGTTGAATAGGTCATTGCTTATTGGTTGACCCATGGCAAATAACTACTTACCTACCAGGAGCTCCTAGGAAATACAAGGTAAAATGGCTCAACTAGAGAAGTCCATAGAAAGGCTTCAGGAAACATATTTCACCTCGTATTTGCTGACAGCTAAAATCAGGCATATTTTTACCGTCAACTTTATTGTGTGCTTGAGGCATCATAAAGTACACCAGAGTCATGCATCCCTCCATACATATCCCTCTATTCCTCAAAATTGCCTACTCCCAGCATTAAGAATTTGCAAAAAAATTAACGAGTTGGTCAGGTACCTGCCCTCTTCTGCAGCCAGTAGCTTCCGGGAATCTTTCCAGTAGAGCACATGTTTTCGGAACACTTTTACAAGCATTTTCATTTTTTCTTCCTAGTGAAAATAATGGATAGAGAACAACGAACAATGGTAAGAACAATGAATTAACTTTTCCCTGTTTTCTGCTTTACAGAAGAGCAAAAAAGCTATCAAAGAGCTGACACAGAAAAAGAGGTAAATATTATTCTCATTTTACAGATTTTGCAACTGAGATACTTACATGTTGTAATATCACAGCAGCATATTTTGCTTTGAAATAATTTTTAAACACCAGGCTTTATATAATTTAAAAATATTATTCTAAAAGTATAATTATTAATTGGGCTGCCTAGGGACAAAAAGGATTAAAAATGCCACCAACATCATGTCATTTCAACACCAGGTGGCATTTTGATATAAGCTGCTTTTAATATTTTATTTTACATAACTCTTTCATATGCAGAGTTTTAGAAGAGTTTAAGGTCATTCCAATAGTTGGGCCTCCCACTGCAGGAACAGGGCAGCAGGTTTATTAAAATCATGTTCTTTGGCTCATACCATTTCTGAATGACAGAACTCACCTAGCTGGCAACACAGTATTGAGGATGTGCTTTCTCCCATGTCCCCATCTTCCCTCAGGATGATCTGTACTATGAATCACCATGCAAAATGTTGGCAGCCTTGCCAGAAGAGAATTGCACTCATTCAATAGTTAACATACTCAAGGAATTCGTAGAAGTGCTTTGGGGACAACACGGATTAGAATAAAGAATTCCTGTTCATTGTCACAGGGGTCCCAGACACTATTTTATTACTTCCCTTCTTCGGTACACAGTGGTTACAAAAAGAGTTCTGGAAAATAAAACTGTATTGCTACTCCTTATTACACTATGTTAGTCTGAGAAACTGAAATTGAGGAAAGAGAAGAAATACAAAATGTTTTACCTTGTTGCCATAAGGTAAACTGGCTCCAGTCTCCTTTTTCTCGTAGGTTCTCATCTTCAGGCAGGAAGAGGCTACTTTTTTTGTCCATCACAGCAAGTCCCTCATCCCGAATGAGCTTCCAGTTTTTCTCTAAGGACTGTTGTGAGAGCCATATTACTGCACTGAGAACTTACTGCGTGTGGCTTTAGTACTATTTTTATTTTTCCCTGCCATTATTAACTTTTATTTTTAAATTTAAAAGTACTAAAACAAAGTGTTCATCATCATTATCAAATTTCTTTATATTCTATTCCCTCCTGACACGTTAAGACAGGAAAAATGACTTTCACAGCATTCTTCAGATTCAATTACATTGAGATTGTAAAGTTTCAACAATGCCCAGCCTCTTTGCAGACTAGCCTCACTTTGACTTGCTTTTTGATTAGCCTAAGGGCTCTTTAGCAGATCAGTTTGTATTGCAAGCTAAGAAGTGTATTGATCTTTCTAAATGCTGCATATGTGACCTGGAATCATTCCTGCATCTACAAACCACTCGCATAACCTGGAACTCCAGGTGTTGGCAGAATATTGTGGTCCAAAGAGGACAAATGTGAACATACCACAAGTTGAAATTTATGATTTACACCTTCAAAAAGGTTTGCAGAAATTCAATTGCATGTGCTGATACTATTGAAAAAGTCATATACAACTTGAAATGCCAGGTGATGATTTATGGACACAACCATTAAGAACATGTAAACTCCTTTGTATTTCATACATACCAACCCCACAAAATAGTAGAATTAAAATTTCTCTTCTCTGCTGTCTTGGGACATTATATTTGTAGAAATCAGATATCCTAGAAAACCTTTTATTGTACCAGTAAAAAGTCATTTTAATGCTATAGCAGGATAAATGAAAAACCCAGAGTATAATAACAGATCTGGATAAAAGTAACTTCAATTTCCCAGCTGCTAACTTTTCTCACTAGACTTTATTTTGGGTGAATAGTTTTCATTTTTCCTTTGTGCTCTTGAACAAAGCTTTTCTGTAAAACATTTTAAATGTTTCACACTGAAACAGGCTATGGTATGTTCCCACACTACTTCTTTATATGATGTGCAAAACTGAGTAAAACTCTAAAAAGGGGCAGTTATATCACCTCGTCTGATCTGTGTTATACATACTTTTGTCTCAAAAATCCATATGGTTATTAGCCTTCCACATTTAAACAGTTGCATTTTCCAGCTGAGTTATTTTTTACTCAAAAGACAAGTTCATCTGACAAAATAGACTGAATATTGATATATCATAAAAGGTTCAGCAAAGCAAGTCATGGCTGGAACATGCTGTCTATAATATAGCTACCTTCTCCCAGTAGAACAAATTTGGGTAGGCTGAGACTTATGAAAACCTGGATTACACTTCTGTTATTACAGTAATCTCTTCTTCATAGCAAATGGTTTTGTCTCTCATCTATCAGTAAAGGGGTAAGAGCACTTATTTTTCCTGGTGCATTTACCTTATTCTCACTTGTTGATAGTTTCCATAACTCTCATTTAACAGTTAACACTAAGTAAAAATGGGTGGGGTATTTTTTAGAATATCTTTTAAAAACTGACTTTGCCAAAATCGAGGATACAAAATAGATTGAAACTTTCCATCTAATCAGAGATGAATATGGGAACAGTGATGGTACTGATTGAGAATTATCATACCTACAAAGAAAATAGCAGTTTGAGTGCCTAAGTTTTCACTGGGTGGAGAAGAGAAAGAAAAGAATAATTTACATCCACACTGGCCTCAATTTAAAGTGATACAGATCAACAAAACTGGAAAACTTTAGAAGTTATTACAAGTGCTTTTGGGTTTCCTCAAACTCCTCCTACTCCTCAGCTGCAGAAAGGAGCATTCACTCATGCAGACAAGATGATGCATGAAGAGCACTGGTGGTCCAAGAAGTTGCAGGCAACAGCCTCTTTGTCACCTTTATTCTCTCACAAGTGACATAGGCTGAAGGTTAACCTGTTCAGGTGACTGTTTGTCCTTGTGTTTAGAAGCTCCTTCCCCAACATGTTGGATACAAAGTCAGTTCAAAATCAATGATATGTATTCAAATAATGGTTTTAGACATAACTTGCTCTGAAATCAATAGTTTCTCTACTCCTGAAAACCTGGTTCCATCCACAAAGCACACTGATAGGGCTTTATAACGAGCAACAGGCAACTCCTAGGTAGAAAATAAATGGGAAGTTCAAACACAACTCAGCCTTGATTTCCCTGATTTTACAGACTCTTAGACATACCTTGAATGGTAAGAATGCAAAACACCATTAAAACACAATGACTAAGTCCAGGACCTGATCTTATGGCTCTTGATGCTAGAGTTGGTATCAACAGAAAAAAAGTTAAATATGCTTATGCTCCATGAGATGTAGGGATTCAAGCTTCAGGTCAGAGCAAAAATGTTCATATTATAGTTTGTGCAATATCCTGATTCCAAATGAAGAATCAGGAGGCAACCAGCATTGGGAGCATATGTACTAGTTTGCTAGCAGCTGACTCCCATAAACCTCCATATGGCTTTTTAAATGCTGTTCCTAACAACAATAGAAGTTTACAGTTGCTGTACATCTGGCAATAGTGTACATTTTGTTTCAATAGGGATTTCTCAATATTGGTTTATTTTTATGTGAGACTATTATATTAAAAGAAACCCTACTCTGTGTCGTCAAACCCTTTCAATTCATGGTCATAAATGAAACAGGCAGAGATTAAGAGGTTGCTATCCCTCATGTGAGGCATTAACTACTGACCACATGTCCATTTTAATCCACTGAACTATAAAATAAAATCACGGTGAATACTTTAATGTACTTCACTTTGTTACTGAAACAGAATGGGGGAGCATTCACAGTCAGTTACTGCGTCTCAGCTGGGTAACACTGGTGATCTCCAAGAAAGAGGCAGTGTTTTAAACCTTTCAAAATAGGTTCCTTGCACACATTCACTCACGGTGCTTAAACATCAGCACTTGTATGCATCATCTCTGCTCTCTTCAACACACAGCTCCCCCAGCATCCACACTTTAAATACACATTTCAATTTAATTTCTTCCTTACATAGGAAAGTTTAGCTATTATTACCTAAACCATTAAGGTCTAGCTGTCACTCTATGGAAAACATTATGGATATGTGCCGTTGCCAGTACTTCCATTCTCTTTCTGTACTTTTCTTGATGCACTTGAAACTTTAATTAATAAAATCTAAGCCATCAGAGAAAACCAACAATACAAGATCTACTTTAATCAATCAGCTATTCACTGGAGTACATTATTGGCAAAGCATCCTCTGGGTCCTTTCCAAAAGCCAAAGGACAGAATATGAGGAAAGGACAAAGTTACCTAAATCATCACCTATGTATTAATTTCAGACCAGTGAAGTCTCTCGGATTAATTAACATTGTATCTCTTTTATTAATTTTTTTCAATGGGCACCAGAATAAAGCTATACTGAGGTTCTACAAAAGGTATCAGAGCAAGATGTAATGACTCAGTAAGACTGGCTGAAGAAAGCTAATTGTGCCAGGGGAAAAGGACAGGTTTTCAAAGATAAAGGTAAGGTTTCCTTTAAACTAAGCTCAAAAGAGAAAGACAGTTTCTTGACTCTCCAGATCCAAAGACCTGAAATACTGTAGAGCAGAAACATTAGCAGAACATTTCTACATAAATCACTTGACACACCCTTCCTAATCTAAATGTTTGTATTTTCTGCTCCCTGAGAAATCAGGTGCCTCTTCCTATTCTTTCAAGGAAATTAGAAAAAACATTAAGCCTTAATGAGCTGCAGCTAGAGAGATGCAGAGAGCCACTTCCCTTCAGCACAGTTACACTAATCAAGACTTACCACAGCTTCATAAGTGTTACTGAGATATTCTTAGTCTCCCTATCTCTCCCCCCTCCACAAACACCCCCCTGAAGCCTAAACCCTCTTCCTTAAGACATCCAGGCAAGTAGGTAATAGTAAAGTAAAAAAAGTACGAGATTGCCTTCTTTAATCTTACCCATCAGGCAGTTAAACATCAGGCTTAAACTAGGTGTTTAGGCTTCATTTTTTCAGTAAAGCAGTAGGAAATTTAACACTAAAAAGGGAGACATGCCATCCTTAGATAGTTATTTAACATAATATAAATTAATCATCCTATGGAAATACCTTTTTTTTTTGACCTGTTGACAAGGTCACTAGCATGGACAACATGCCACATGTCTGTATGACTAGAGTCAGCCGAGCTGAATGTCTCTAGGAAGAAAGTTAATTAACTGAGAATACTGGAAAAAGACAATTTTATCTCCAGGCTTTCTGTAGAAAAAGCAAGGCACTGTCAAAATTTACATTTCCATCTCTAGTCCCAACAAACTACATAACGGTTTATAACAAATCAAGCCAGGTCTATGCTATAAGATATTGCTGATCACAGCTGTGGTGGTTAATGGAATGAACCAAAGAAAGCTGCCAGAGAGTTCAGCTTTAGTATAGTCTCAGATACAAAGAAGCATCATTAAAGATACCAAGATCTTCAAAATTGTGCATTCTCATTGAACAACAAGCAGGGAAGCACAGGGAGAGAGGGTCAGGGCTCCCAGTGCTTTGCACAACAGCTTTACATATTGAATTCTATCATTGGGATTTGGAAGCATCTCCCATATTTCCCACTGCAGGTAGCTCTAAAACATCAGCCAACTAATATGTATTCTTTCCTTTTTGCTTGACAGAAGTATGCTAAGAAGTTCCTAGTTTCTGCATATCTTTTATGGCAGCAAGTATCTATTTCTACACATGCCTAAACAATTAGTTCAATACGAGCACATTTCAGATCTTCCCAAAAGCTAGTCCAGAAAGCTAATTGCTTTTTTGTGTGGCTGTGATTACACTGGAGAATCACACTTTAAATCTAAATTTCCTGGACTTATTTATGCTGCCATCCAAACCATAACAAAGATTAATGTTTCTTTTTAATCCACTTTAATTTTTAAAAAATAAAATCATTCTTCCATAGTAGGTTTTGTAACATGCTGTGCAACTATGTATAAAGAAACAACCACTCTGAAGAAACTTGCTTCTTACAAGTAAATATTTATGTTTTAAAAAATATGTGTGTATAATATTTATTCTAAACCACACACCAATAATAAAATGATACAGGAAAAAAGATTATCCCCTCATTTTTTATTTTTATAAAGGAATTATTTTTATAATAATAATAATAATACCATGCAATTTTGGAAATACAAACTATTTTTATGAACAATAACCAGACTACTTGCCTTGCATTAAATAAATAAATAAATAAATAAAGCAATCTTTAAAGAATTTAATTTCTGTGCTATTATCTCTTGTTAAATCCATCACTGGATATCTACAGTTGTTTCTCTCATGCAATTAAAGGTTTCCAAAGTCTCTAAATATTACACAAGGGCTGAAAGACACAGCCTTTCCTGACTAATTAAAAATTCACAGTGGGTGTCCCAGACATTACCCAAGTTTGCTGTCATTTTCCACTTCAGATGTTACTTGCTGTCTACCATGCAAATACTGTATGTATTAATCATGTCAACCATCCTGTCCTCATTCTCAAATTTGAAAAAGCCTGAGCTCATTCTTTGGTATTTTAGTTAAATCTTGTGCTCAGTCTGACAGTGGTATCTGGAACTCACAGGCAGTAGTTCAGACTTTATAGATTAGCTTTCTATCTGCTTAATAACTAAGACTGTAGTTGTTATTTCAATAAAAAAGGAAAGCACAAAGAAGCCATACCTTCACCAGTTCCGTATAACCAGTTTCCTTTGCTGTCCACCAAGGCTGAGCTTTCAGTCCCTTGACATTGTAGAGGGAGCGCTGCCAAACGGATGCAAAGTGACCTCTCTGGTATCCAAGTTCATACCACTTGTATGCCTAAAAGATTGTAGTTGTTAACAACCAAATTTATATCAGCCAAGTTCCTACAGGAAAAAAGTAACACTTTTTTGGCAAGGTAACAGACTGTCCCTCTGGATGTCAGGGTTATTCTTTTAATATCATGTTGTAAGGAACACTTTTAGAAAAAAACATAACCAACCAACCAAAGACAGAAAACCCCCAACTAACAAAATAGATTTGTTGGCCAAGGCTGTCCAATCCATCATTAACAAAATAGGATAATCTTCCAACAATCTTTCACACCAAATATCAGTCAGTAATTCAGGCCCTGTCCTTGGACTTGGGAGATCCAATTGTTTCTCATCTTGGTCAAACTTATTTTCTCTGTTTCAGTTCTCTACCTGTGAATTAAAGATGGCTGCCTTCTGCTGCCAGTGGAGATGCTGCAATGATGAAAACACTGATAACTTTGTGGATTTAAACTGTTAATTAATTAATTAATACATATATGCACTTGACTTTCTTCAAATACTTGTTGCCTCACCAAAAGAGATCACATGCTAGAAACCCACTGAGGTTAGTACTAGACATTTGCTTGTCTTACTCTCCCTTTACACAACGTATTTTACCCCTGTGTAGGAGCAAAACAAGGTCCTGAAAAGAGAGAAAATGAGATGCTTGGAAAGAAAGGATCCAGCATGAGTAGTACTGTGACAAACCATACAAGAGAGAAGGTTATGTATAGATGCCTCCTTCTTGACCAGCATTACTACTACAGCTGCAATATTTTAGATGACACAAAATAGGACGGCTAAGTAGGGAGATATGAGGTTAAGAAGTCCAGAGCAGAGGGACTGAAGCAGGCAGCAATCCCTGCCTTCAACAGAAACCAGCCAAAACCTTCTCTGAGAGTCTGCAAATTTTCTTCAGTCTTTTAAGAAGTGCGTCATTCTGATCTTTATAACTCTCTTGATGCATAGAGGAAAGTCTGCGAGAGAATGTTGCCTTATAGTGCTTATCTGAAGTACAGAAATGCAGTATGGAGGAACAGAATAACAGCAGATTATATACAAGCTGTCGACTTTTTCCCTAGAGAAGCTGTGTAAAATTGTGTATGAGTCAAAAAAGCATTATGTATTACCTCTGGGTAATACACAGTATATCTTTAAATTTTGATGTTATCTTGGTTAAATCTCTGAACTGGAAGTATTATGATTTATAACATCTGTTCTCCAAAATGCAAGTTGTAACAGCAGTGGGATATCAATAGATTGCTCATGCTGACTGCCTGCATTCATTTGCAATGTCTGGAGTTAGCCCAAACGATAAGGGATGAATTACTTGTTTCAGCAACTGACTGATGAGTATGAATGTTGCTGCTCTTTAAGAGACATCAGCTATAATCACAATGTATAATACTGTCAATCCTTATCCATTTAGAAGAACTGTGCTATGGAGGTTGCCTTTGACAGAATGGAGTAGGGTTAGGCTGCCTCACTCATCCTTTCCATTCCTGTGATTCTGTGAGAAACCTTTCTTTTCACATGCAGGTCTTGGCAGCAGAAAGACTAAATAAAGGCCACAGTATTATTCAGGAGAGATACAACAGTGTATCTTCTTTTCCAGGACAGAAGTTGTTTGACATGCACTCAGTTTATACATTATGTGTGAATAGCACTTTGTTCTGTAATACCTTCCATAGTTTTAAATTATCTTTTTTAAAGTCAACTTGCATTTTATCAAATTATAGTTGGAAAGGGCATACTCAACACTGCTTCCCTAACACTTATCAAGACCACATTCATAATTCCTAATTTTGCTCTAATAGATTAATATCTACCTTCAACAAACCTTCAGTGATAGCAATTTCACATGTTCCTTAAAAATTGATCTGTTTCCTTGATTAAATCTTGAAATTCAGCAAGTCTAGCAAGGTCAGTGAGAGAAATTTAGCTTAACAGTGGACCTTCCACTGATAAATTTAGAAGCCTTCTCTATCCCAAGAAGTTCATTTGTCATTAATTAAACTTTTTCTACAGTAGATTTGACCATTAACTCCATAAACATTAAATCTAATTATCCTGGGGTTTGGGATGATGTACATTAATTACATCTGTGTGGTATCTTTAGTCAAACATTGCAATGGGATGCTCTGGGTTCAACCATTCAACCCAGAATATCCTATAGAAGCCTACAGGGATTTGACAGGAGACAGTATCTGATAGAGAGATGGTGCAAACAGACTGTGTGTGTATGTGTCTGTATGCGTAAAATGAGGCAAACTAATTCTCACTTGTAAATGAATATTTAAATAAAAACACCTAATTGGAAGAGCATTTCAGGGAAGGCTATCTAATATAAAATTCAGATATTATTCCATTTCAATGTTCTAGATCTACTATATGTATAAGGTATTAAGTTTCATGAATTACCTTATATTACTTACTAATATAAGGTATTAAGTTTCATGAATTACTAAAAAAAGCTAGCCTGATGAACAAGGCTTGAGAACGATCACGTACATAGGCTTCACCACAATGTACGATCACGTACATAGGCTTCACCACAGTCCACCTGTCTATAGTTCATATTGGAGAACTACCTACTGACTGGGCCACAACACCCAAGAGGCAGCAATTTTTTGCAATATTTAAGATACTGAACTCAGACATTACTAGGTAAGTAATTAAAAAGCAGTGATTTTCATGGCTATTTCTACTGTGCTTTTTAATGCTTATTCTTTTTATATTTCTCACCTAAGAACCTGAATGGTTTTTTTCAGTTGTTTTTTTAATTCGTGCCCATATTAAAGTTCATTATTAATTACAGTCTTCAAAAAGGCCCTTTTCTCCCCAATCATGACAGCAGTGCTAATTCACACATTTAAACTTGGTTTTAAAATAAAATATGATTTTAAATAAACAAACTAGGAACACTTATGGCTTCCAGTGGCATATGTTTTTGTTGGGCATGCAACAGATATATTGTAGAAATTTTTGCTTTCCTGATCGATTTAATTATTGAACTGATTCCATAGCTCAGTCCTCCAATAGTCTTCTTTAATTACATACTCATTGGTGCTCAAGATCACTTTGGAAAAGAAGGGAGGTTTACAAAACACTGTTATACCAGAGCTATGAAAGAACAGTGATTTACATGCAATTGTTTTTTTTTAACCTCTCATTAAAATCTTTGTTGTAAGTGATATGAACAGAAAACAGACTCTACAAACATCTAAAGTTCTAAAAAAATTTAGCCCCTTGGTTCAAGCTGCCCCATGCCAGCTTCAAAAGTTTAGATTAGTTCCAAAGCAAGGGATGCTAAGATATTGCAATGTTATGTTAATGACAGATTTTTTGGTGTTGCTCATACTGACATCTACACACATATATGCTGGATTGTTGTTGCAAAGGGTCTAGTCAAGTTTTCAAAACTAAGCCCATCATTAAAGGTTTTCCAGGATTCCATAGTCCCTCAGGGGTCTAGACTTTCAAGCAAGAGCATGTTAAACATGTACCTCTTTGTCTCCCATTCTCTGTAAGGCATCACCCAGATGAAAATAAAAACGTCCATCATCTGTGCCAGGGTCACCAGACTCTATTCCTTCCTAAAAATTAAATAAATAAATAAAAGAAAAAGGTACAAGAGAAATTTCAATGAGACTTCTGAAAGAGTTCATTTGTCTGCTGTAAATAGGCTGTCAATTCTATGCAAAAGACAGGCTATGAAATTAGCTAGAAAACATAACCCCCCACAGCAACCTGGAACTTAAACTGAATTAATACAATATGCCAGAAAAAAGTAATTGAGAAATACTATCATTTTTCCAAATCCCATGGCCTCTTCCCTCCATCTCTCCAAGACAGAAGTGTATTGAGAGGTGGACACTTGCCCCATACCCTATAAACATATGCACAAATGTTTTAGAAAAGGTTTATAGTATTCCTTCCCAAACACTCAGAAGTGGGAAAATGCAAGCCTTCTCTGGATCTTTCAAGAACCTTTGGTTTGCAGCATACTGCCAACCTCAAAACAATTTGAGGCTCAAAGCTGTGTGCTTCAGGTTAACCATTAATAAAACAAATACTTGATATTTAAGAATAGAGGAGTCTCAATGTACAAGCTTGTTCCAGTTCATAGGCAGTGATACAGCAATATAACTCCAACAAATAGCTTAAACTGTGATTTGTAATTAGCATGCTTCTAGTTTGAGACATCTCATACATTTCAATTCTACTTTTTGTTGGGTAAAACATTTACTGTGAGTGAGAAAGTACCTGTAGATAGGGTATGCTCTCTGCTATCTTGTTTTCTGCCTTCAGGATGAAGCCATAATGTACTTTGGCAAACCCATCATTTGGAGCCAGATTTAGAACCTGTTTGAGAGCAAATTAATTAAATTCACCTGTATGGATCTATGCAAATTAATAAACGTGCACATACTACTATTTAGTGATGCAATGATATTTTCTTCCATTACTGACTCTCTTCTTTTTCAGTTGTTCATCCTTTTTCTCCCTTCTTTCTTGAGGTACAGCGTGTTACATGACAGAATTAAATCTATTCATTAACAATTAAGTTCCTTATTCCAAGTTTCACTAATCTGAAGGACAGCAGCTGCTCTTGAAAAAGTCTGCAGCAGAGTCATGGGAAGCACAGCATAGAAATATACCTGAAATAGTTTAAAATTAGATAGGTTTCTACTGGTGGCAAACTAGTTTTGGCAAAAAAAATATACTATGCTGTGACACATAGTGAATACAATTTAGAAAGATGCTGCAAAGTAACACCTGCATCATGTGATGGGGATGTGCCAACCCTGGAACACCAACAGCACGATGGTAAACTGGAACACTCTCAGGAACATTGTACACTTTCCTGGCCAAGAGAAAGAAGGTAATGCAAAGTCTAATGCAGTATTGACTTAATGTGCTTTCACAGTAGACGAGGTATGAGGCTGGCCAGCCTGAGTTCTAAAACATGCAGCCCCAACACCAGTCAGATAATTTAAATGCATTTGGTCTACCTCAGCCACGGGGAAAATTAGAGTATGTCTTGAACTACTTTCAGCTCTGCATTTCTATGATGTGTATGTTCAATATCATTTGTAGCTCTATGCAGTATCAATTACATGGTCAAGTTAATCTGTTTTTACACCTCTTCTCTCCTTAAAATAAGGTGGACGGTCTTATCAGGACAGAACCTCAGTCTGTGAGGATCAGCACAAGAGCTTGGCAGTGAGTGGAACTACAGAGGCTGATACCTGCTGAATGTCTAGACAGTTGCTAAATACAAAACAACGAACAGATGAGCAATTTCTCTTGCCTAAATCAATTTCTGAAGCTACTAAACTTGTATCATACATATAGCCTGCATACATTACAGTTATTTCCCTCTGCCTTTTCCAGTTACTGTCTAACATAATTTCATAACCAAAATAATTACAAGCAAAACCATAACAAGTTCTCTGGAGCAATTTCTCTGCCGTCTCAAACCTTATTACATGCAAACTACATCCAAGCAAAACCAAAATCATTGTGGGTTTAAAATATTATGAGTTAAAAATAGCAGCATTTCACTTCTTTTGGAAGAATAGAGTTACTATGAAAGAACAAACAATTTGAGAATCTATGTGAAGTCTGCAATATGAGACATTGTTAGCAAAAAGTGCCATAGTAACAATGAGCTTGATCCCTAGTATAAGAATACACTACCACCTTATGCATCTTATGTGTTTTGACTACAGCATTCTGTGTATAATTATGTTGATCCAAGAATCTGTACCTGCAGGGTGAAATGAAATGACTGACAGAAATATTTATTAGCCATATAATTTAGTTACAGATTCTTTAACTATAGAATAAAGCTATCTGATTAATTAAGACAGAATAGAATTTTCTGTATTACGGTTCATTTAAACTATGCCGAGTTGCATTAAGGAATGATCTACATTCAGAGCCCCTAAAGAGAAGCAAAGAGATACAATCAGCAGAAATTACGCTGGAAGTATTTAATGTAAATTGTATTAGTCTGTTGCTGTTGCTGCATGCAATATTAATTACGTTTAGAAATAAGTTTTACTAAACTGCTCATAGTCCATTAAATATTTATCATGAATGTAGAAATTAACCTCTGGGGCTATCAGTGGCTAATTAGCCAGGGCAGAGTACTGTGTTAATGTGGGCATTCTGGTTTTGGTACCTGAGATAGCTCAGTCAGGGCTGGCTTACACGTGTCTGTATAATGCTGCATTGAGCCATGCAGACATGCCTCAGTATGGCAGGCAGAAAAAGTGCTACTTGGAGTGTAACTGGTCTTATAAAGTTCTCTTGTGCTGTATTTTTTTATAATCTGTAGATCTCTGAAAACAAAAATAGCTCTAAATCCTACCAGGATTACTTTTAACATTATGTTTTCTTTTAAAATAAAAATAGCTCTGAATTCTACCAGGACTAAGGTTATGTTTCCATGTCCCCAAGTGTTATGCTCAAAAATGAAGAAAATGCCTTAATATTAGAGGTAAAACTGAAATCCTTTCCAGTTGGACACCATTTTCCATCTGTGGTTCAGCAAAAATTCTGGCAAAGGCAAACTAGAAAAGTGTATTTTGAGTCAGTTAGACTATACCACACAACTGTTGGAAGCAGAAACCTCTCTTGATCTGAAGCTCAGTGTTTATACACACTGCTTCTGTAGCTAAAAGAAGGAACATATATTAAAGACCTAAATTAAGCTGCTAAGACATAACAAATTTGGAACAAAACCAAAAAGAACTGAATGCAAAATAAGGAAACTAGCTATTAAATGTAAAGCAAAAGCAGAACGTTTTCATCCAGTAGAATTCCTTGGGTTTCTATTCAATTCCTTGGAGATGATGCAAGCTAGAGTTAATCTGGTCTGAAATGCTATGTACTGTGATCCATGTAGGGGACAGTGCCTATGAAGGATCCAGCTGTTTGCATGTGTTCAGTCCATGCTTAATACAGACTAGTAACACTGAATTAAGATTGAAATGTTACAGCAGGAAGCAAAGAAGGACATGGGTACCTTTTGCCCATGAATCTAACAGATTCCCAGGAAATGGGAAATTTGAAGTTTAGATTCTGCATAGAAGAGTGTTTAACTACTTGGGCATTTGCCTGAGCAGCAGAAACAAGTATCACCCACACAAAGTTAGACAACCATGAAGAAAAGAATGAGACCAGAGGGGAATCAATGAAAAGCTGAGATTTTAGTTGAGTAAAGGGTATGTTCTCTTGAGGATGCGTCCTGAACTCTGCTCTTAGATGCCCATGTTTTCTGCATAAAAGAACACTTGAATAAAATGTATGAACATCCTTACAGTGGGAAACAGAACTCAGAATTCATAACTATCGGAGGAATGTACTGTGCAGCACTGAGTCCATGCTTTTGTCTGTGCTCTCTTACATTTTTCTATCAAAAGACTAATTTGTCCTATGCTAGTGAGAAGGATTTAGTCACACTACAGAAATTTCCCAGATTTTTCAAAAATCATGGTAAAAGCAAGATGTCTCCTGGAGGCACCCAGAACCACTACTCACAGTCAGCCACTCTACTGACTATGAAGAGAACCTGACCATCTAAGTAGGATCTCCAAACCATATGCCAATCACTTTATAATATGCATTGCAAGAGCTGAGTGAAGCTCTCTGGAGCAGACTATGTAGTCCCTAAGAAATCTGCCCAAAACTGTGTAAGAAGCCTTCAGTAGAACAAAGAATAAAAGCAGGTACATATAAGCTTCTCCTTGATTGTTTGGCTATGTATTGTTTCATAAAATTCTTAGTATAAACTTATCCCGAATTATAACAACAACATTACATTACTGTGTTGGAATTCAGCCTGAGGAATATGCAGAATATGAACAAAACCATCATGATTTTAAAAAAGAATAAGTCCAACTCCTTTTAAGAAAACATTTGTTGCTCTTTTGTGAGGATAGAACATCATTATAATCTATTCTAGTTCAGTGGTTAGTGAACTGCAAAACAGAGTAATTATACTGGATAAAGTCTATAAGAAGAATGGAAAACAATGTATTAAAAGCATACCAGTCCCTCTTTTGCATATCTGTTCTTAATCAGAGTAGTATATATTTCTTCTGAAGTATATAAAACAATATCAAAGTAATATAGCAAACTATAAATTATCAAAATATAGCAAACTCATGACCTTCTTCAATGTATAAAAACTCCTGCAATTATTGATATTGAGAAATTCTAACAACTATGTTGTTTGCAGCAAAACACTTCACAATTGCAAAGGAAAATTTTGCCCAAAAGGAGTATGTTTTCATTTTCTCAAGTTCCTTGCAGCTTGAGTAGCAGGTTTGGTTAATCAATTATATCTTTAAATGCTGAGGCTTCCAATCCTCTCAGAAATTCTGACAACAGGCCAAAAATTATCGAAATGTTTCATGGAGGGACCTACAAAGTAGCCAAAGTAGCAAAGCAAACAATATTCTGGTGACATCTGAGACTACCAGAGGAGCTTGAGGGAAAAAAAAAGGTATTACTAGCACTCAGCTCCTGCTTCCAACCATGTGGTTCATGTGGTTGAACATTCTCCTTCTCTTTCAGAAACTACCAGAGATGAAAATACTCTCAAACTCACAGATGCGGGGGATGGAAAACTGAGCCTTTATTCTCAGGAGGTGGTACAAATCATGCTGACTCCTCTCCAGCCAACATAACCAGCCAATTACTGTACAAGGCCAGGACTAAACAAGCACCGCAACACGTGTGCCAACATCAACAAGGCCATCTCTGGTCAGGTGCTGACAGCTTGTGCTCTACCAAAGATGTCAGGCTCCCCATCTCTCAGACAGTTTCCAGATGTCAACAGGGGTTTCTAGATCACAGGAGCAGAGTGGTCCTTCCTGGCAGTGAAGTTTCCCCTGCCTGATATCCATAGTATAAGTCACGAATATAAATCCAATTAATTGTCCACACCACAAACATCATGAAAGAACAACAGAATTTAAGCTAGCTACAAAAACTTGAAAAAACAAAGGCTAAATAGCTGTGCGAGTACTGAACTACTTGATCACATGGTTAGAGATGCTGTTGTTGTAAAGAAACTATCTTACTTCTGTTTTCCTTGTCTTGCAGACTGGATATCTTTTTTTATACTATGCATTATACCTATATGAGTTGTCAATACATTCCAGACCTAATATGTCTACCACAAGGTATAAGATTTCAAATATTATTAAGCATATGAAAAAAATATGCATTTCTCTGTCAATGAGAAAAAACTTAGCATGACAGCATCAGGAAATCTGAATTAAAATTAGAAGATAATTAAAAACAGCACCAGAAAAAAACACCTGTACCTATATTAACCCTTCAAAAGCTCACATGTGAAATGTTTAACAACTAAAAATGTTAAAAGAAAGCAATCTTTAGAATGAATGCAAATAATATTTTTCCTTCACTGGAATGGAAACTCACCTCTTCATATACTTTCTTTGCATTGCTGTTATCTCCTATCAAGAGGTAACCAACACCAAGGTCATTCTTGAACGAAGTATCACTGGGAAACAGCTGAACTAATTTCTGTAGAGTAACCAGTGAACCTCTCATGCGACCTGATTCGATTGAACAAGACTTAATTACAACTGCAGAACCGAGTAACAACATACACGACATCTAAGAAAACACAAATCAGAGCCAAGTGCTCCACTTTCACTAACAATCAAGGAGAACTTAAAAAAAACTTGTGCAGACAGGAGCGTGTTCTGCTGCTTGGTTGTCGCTAGGGGTGTAGGAATACCCCTAGTACCAGGAATATTGTCAGGGAATCACTGCAAGCACAGATCATGCGGTGTTATGGTAGCCTCTTGTGGAGAACCCTTCACAGTGCAGCAGGAACAACGTTACTTAAGCTTTGGTTGCTCTACCATACACAGACATCAAAGCACTCGACAGAACTAGGTAAACATTTCATAATAAACTTAATCTTAATTAAGTAATTAAATGCAATTCTAGCGTTAAGTAATAGTTCTACTCTATTTCCATTATGAAATTTATCATGCTTTATGTGCTTAAAATTAACTATGTTCCTTGGCTTTCTAGATTAGGCCTTGCTGAGGAATAGCAAGATCAAAACAAGTTGATATTAAAAATCCCACCCATGGCAACAGAACCGTTTTCTCCAAAGCTGATTGTGCCTCATATTCTAATCAGTACTTCTGATACACCCCAGAATTGAGATCTAAACCTACAATCTAACCCAAAGTTATCCCTGAATTCCATTCTTCTCTATGTCTACTAGAAGTTTACTTTGAGTATGTTTATTCTGCATATGCCATTAATTTGCTCATGATTTTCTTCAGCTTCGGTAGAAAAAAAATTTCTTCTTTCTCTGTCAATAAAAACTTCTGAGCACCTCTCATAACAACTTCTCATAGCACCTACTGCAGCTTTCTACAGGCACTGTTATCATACAAGCAAATTATGAACACTAGTTCCCTAGAAGAATTGTAAATAATTTTAAAATATTCTTCATAGGCATTTAAGATCTTAGGATGGCAAAAATTCAATGGAATTGGCAGTTTTAGTGCCTTTAGTGATCTTTTCAAAGTCTTGCCCACACAACTTCCATAATTTTTATACCACCCTCAAATCTTACCAAGGAACTGCTGCCTGTCTGCTTCTCGCTTCAAACTCAGTTTTATCAGATCTGAAGGGACATTTGGCAGACTAACCACCTCATCATAGGTGTTGATAGCTTGTTGCAGCATCTCATTGCTTCTCATTTTCTCAGCTAAGTCATCCTCAGCCTAGAAAGAATCACAAACCCATTATTAGAACATAATAATCCATTAGTTTCAAAAATAACTGTTTTCTTAACAGGCAAACTATGCAACTGTTAGACTACGGATTGTGCTTTATGGAAAGGCACATCAGAATTATCCTTAATTCTTGTTACCTAAGCTAAAAACGTAAATACAAGAAAATTTGCACCTAAAACATACATTAACACAGATTTTTGATTGCGTTGGTATGACTACCTATTTAAAAATATAAATACTGTGCTACAATTTAAATCCTAAAAGTAATCCATCTGTCTAAAGCCCCTAGCTTTCTCATTCCTTCAAACACCTTCAGCTTACACATACTGGATTCCATCAAATTGTAATTGGTCATATTAATATGAGTGTTCAGTAAAATGACTAGTATGAATCCACAAAGGCTACTGAAAATTAATTTATTGCTATTTTTATACACTCTATGAAAGCACATCTAATTATTACTTCAGATCTTGGTCTGTATTGACCTTTCAAACATTCTAAAATAGTATATGAACCAAAGTGGTCTCCTACTGTAAGAAGGCAAAGACTTCATCAGACTACCACTCTCACGGGGCACTGAAGTATTTGGTCTGCTGTGTACCGAGTGCTTGCATGAAAGTTTTATGAATAATCATGCTTTGGATTTAGCATGACTATTATTAACCAAGTGAAAACTGGTTGTGACTCTAGTTCAAGTGCCTCATTAATTGTCTAATAGCACAATTCCTTCCTACAGTTTTAATCTTGATTAAGATGAATTCAAGGAGCCTTTTATCCTAGTGCAGTAGGATTATCCTACTATACATGAAAATTCAAATATTATTCTCTTCTGAGATGTCCCAACACAGCTCAAAAGTATTATGAATGCAGTTGATTTTCTGATGCATTCTGGTTGGATTTTTTTTTGAAGGGGAATCCCTGAAACATAAATCACTCCACAAGAAAAAGCTATTTAAAGCTCCTTGACTAAGAATTTATGTTCTTTATCCTTTAACACTCACTCTATAAAAATTCCAAATCCTCTTCCCTATTCCCACTAAGCAAAAAGCAGCATTTATCTCACAGCCTCCCAATTTATGCAAACAGTATGTAACAGTTAAGTTCTGCCTATTGTTCCTGCACTGGGTCATTAGCTGGGATTGATCTCATACCACTGACCTGGCAGTTTTTAAGAGATCTACAGGATGTGTCTTAATTTTGTGTGATTTAAAACACTTCCCAGTAGACTAAAGTTAGACAAAAGCTCCCAAAGCAACTGGGGAAGGATTGTGGACTGAAAGAGATACAATATGACAGATTGCATAATTATTTTATTTTTCCTTCTAGAAAACACAAATTTATAAATTAGTTCTGTCTGCAGTTTAGAAGTCTATTGCTTAAAAATGTTTATATTTTTGTTAACATTTATGGCTTTTTTGTAGTACCTGTGCTTTCCCATATCTTGCTCGAGGACTTTGTGGATATTGATTCACTAATGCTTCAAAGGCCCTTAGAGCTTCTTCGACTTTTCCCTGGAAAGCAGAAATATTTATCAAAATTTATAATTCTATCCAATAAGAACACTGTAATTTACCAAGAGACACAGACAGGCTAAGAGAGTTAGCCAACTGACCCTATAGCCTCATCAAAAGTTTTTATTACACCTTTCTCTGAGTAACCAATTGCTTAAGTAACAAGAATCATGAAAATTCCCTTATTTTTGTATTCTAACAGGTAAAGAAAGCTTCTGGTGGGGAACAGCAGCAGTGGCAGCCTGAGGTTAGTGCCTAAGGCCAGTGCTCTCCAGTCTCACTGCAAACCAACCAGAAGTCTGGGGCTGCATGATGGCAATATAAAGTCAAAACTGCACAGTGTTCTGAAAATCATGAATAACCTTACACGTGCAGGAAAAAAAATATTTTTTATTGTACTGTACTGAAAATAGTGTATCTCATTGCTCATCCATCTCAAAGACCTGCAGTTGTACTTCATGTGCTGGGACTGTCTGTGAGGCATATAGGAGTTTTTAGAAGATTAAATCTCTTATTTCTAACAGTCAGTCTCATAGTCTTGTTTTACTATTGAATCTCACATCTGGAAAAGGGACACCTCTGCAAACATCTTGTTTACTGAAATACTCAAATAAATTGGAAGCTATAAGGGGAGATGAGAGGTTTTGTTTACTGTTGGGTTTTTTCCTTTGTTTTTCATAGTCAAGTTATTAAATGCAGAACTACCTGAACTGACTGATTGACATTACAGTCTTGCTGACACTGGTGAGAAGCAGGAACATCTGCTTTGTACTCTAAGCAACCGTATGGGAGCAGAGACACTCACAGGATGCAGATGGAATCCCAGCAATGCCTACTTCAAAGATCTGCACCTCATGCCCATGAGGCATATGAACACTTAGTAAGAGATCCATATTAACACACTTATATTAAGTTCTTCTGTCACAGTTGACTTCAGTACTCAAATGGACAACAGTGATAGGATAGAACTAATCCTGTTCCATGTGATTAATTTAAAAAGAAATTCAATGGTTAAGCTAAATATTTTCAAGGTTAACAGTGAGCAAACACACATGAACAGACATACACTTATGACTTTAAAAAATTTAAGATAAACTATCCAGCAGAAATTAAAACTGAAGAACAAATATGCACTGCATATTTAAATTAAAAAAGTTAATTAAAAAAAATAAAAATCTAAAAGTCATTCTCCCTTTTTCTAAGTTTTTAATTTATTCATTTTTGTCCACTGCCTGCAGCCCTGAGTGAAACATTCAAAACTTACTTTTTTACGTAGTTTTTCTGCAGCATCTAGTTCAGATTTAATGGTCTTATCAAACTTGTTTAAGAGCTTTGGCTTCTTCTTTTTACCTAGAAGATTAAAAAAACACACAGTTCATTACTTCTTTCGTATTTCACAGCAAATGTCTGGAGTAACTGTGCTGGTAAAATGCATGATTTTCAAGTAAGGCTATTTCAAATTACACTGAAAAGAAATTGATTCCTTACTTATTGCAAGCACAAACTCCTTTATGAAAAAGCAATCTTCAGTCACACAAATTGAATAATGTGCAGTCAAGTTTTGGATAAAGCATTTTTCATCATATTATAGTCAAGGATTTTTTTTTCCAAAGGGTTCAATTGATGTGGAAGGATGAAGAGAACTGTTATTTTTGCACATTAATATGGTATTATGAAAGACATAATGACTATATATGTCTACTTCTTCGCCTAGAGCAATTAGTGAGGATGCATCTGGAGTGGTGTATCGAGTTCTGGGCTCCTCATTACAAGAGAGACATGTTGCTCCTGGAGTGAGTCCAGCAGAGGGCAACAAATATCGTTAAGGGACTGGAGCATCTCTCTTACAAGGAAAGGCTGAGAGCGTTGGGCCTGCTCAGCCTTGAGAAGAGACAGTTGAGAAGGGACCTTATCAACATATGTAAGAATCTGAAGGGAGGGTGTCAAGAGGGTTGAGTCAGGCTCTTCTCGACGGTGCCAAGCAATAGGACAACAGGCAATGAAACTGATGCATGAGAGGTTTCACCTGAATATGAGGGATAGCTAAGAAGTTACTGTGCAAGTGACTGTGCACAGGAACAGATTGTCCAGCGAGATTATGGATTCTCCCTCACTGAAGATATTCAAGAGTCATTTGGATGCAATTCTGTGCCATGTGCTCTAGGATGACCCTGTTTGAGCAAGGAAGTTTGACCAGATGACCCAGTGTGGTCCCTTCCAACCTTACCCATTCTGGGATTCTGTGATTAGAAGTGTTCATAGACATCAGTTACTTAGGTTAGGAGGGGCCCAAAAAGTCAAGTAGTTGAACTTCCAGCTGAAAACATGTTCAACACTGAAAGGTCAGACCAAGATCTCTTAAAGTGATCAAGTTTCTACAGCTTAGCAAGCTATCACACAGTAGCAGAGCAGCAACAGTATGTGGCAAACCAGCATTGAAGTAAATTGTGCAAAGTAAATTGCATTTGAGCAAATTGAGTAAATGGTGTCAGTTTAAACAGCAATTTAATTCATAGCAGTTCACTCTTAAACAATGTCTATTTGGTCGCATTAAGTATTGTAGCTGTTAAAAAATGTAAATATGCTACTGGAAGGATATGAAGAAGAAAACTGCTTTTCTTCACATTTGCTACAGCTAAACTTTGCTTTTGCGCTTCATCAGGAAAAAAGTCTCCACCTTTTCTGACACAAGTAAGGGAAATATATATTGGCTGATACAAGTAACTATTAGTTATGTACATCTATAATTAGTAGCATATATTTTTGCTTTAATTATACATTACTTCTTTTTCTCCCTCTATGGACAGTAAGTCATCAATAGCATAAAAAGAAGTAAAATTACTATTTTCTTTGTAGAAGTTTGCACAGGGGATGAAGTAACTCGTATATGTAAAGCTAAACCCAAACATCATACCCCTTAATATCACAAGACCGCTGCAATGCTGTAAGCAAGTACTTTGGATAACAAGTTATTGTAACTAGCCATGTTTTATTCTGCTTCCCAAGTCCTCAGGTGCACTGTTCAGGAACGACAAAAGGTACCACATGCCACTGGAAGCTGTGCTTATGATTTGTTAAATGATACTGTATCTCTGGGGTTCTGATCCTACATAGAATTTTGGGTAAAAAAATCATGTAATCTACATTAAACCTCAGAGAAAGACTGCTAAATAATAAGTAATGCTAAACCAATACTAACTCCATCCAAGCATCAGAGGATCTCCTAAGCTTGAGCTGCTTCTGTATGGGATGAAAAATAAACACCCTTGACTACTTTTGGTTTTTGCTGTGTAAGACTTTTACTGTCGTGTTCAATGCTGAACTCAGACAGTTCTGCGTGGAGTTTTTCTTACTTTACCATTATAAACTCATCTGCAGCTTTGGTATGCACAATTGAATAGATGCTATTGCTTTTCAGGGGTATGGGGGAAGCAGAATTTAAATATGATTTAAACCACCCTACTAAATTCCATTTACTTATTCACAAAGATCATATGAAGCTTTAAATATAAAAATGTATTAAAATGTATAAAGGAATGGTACTAAAGCAGCAGCGCATATCCCTGTTTATCCTTCTTATAATAGAAGGGACTGTAATTTTCCATGGCATTAGCTACCAAGAAGAAGAAAAAAACCCCAAACTGCCTGATATGTAGGAGTTTACTCCTTTTTCAGGATAAACCACCAAATACCATGCTTTAATATATTGTTTTTTCTCCCCTTAACACTTCAGGTTTTTCATTCCGACCTATGACTTGAAATCAAGCATTTATACTGAAGCACACAATAACGCACTTAAGGAATGTATTTACCAGGGAAATAAATTGACCAAAGAGGAGCTTCATTTTCATTTGGTTTTTTTTCTTTACAATATAGATGTTTTTAATGTTGGTTTTTCCTTCCCCATAGATGATATAGCAGCAATGCTTTCCAATCTGTGGCAAATTCCAGTCTTGCTCTGTCTTATTTTTAATATCATCCATTTCATAGAAAAGTGATGTCTTTGCTGCATTTTCATGCAGTTAAACGATGGTAAGGAGTACAGCACTGTCTTTCTTCCAAGTGTTCTACCCCTTGAATCCAGCAAAACTTACAGAATTAACTCTTATCGCAAAGGCAAGGATCTCTCCACCCCAAACCTACAGACCACAGTGACTAACAGATATGGTCCAAAGTTTCTCCCATAATGTCACTGGGCCTAAAAAGGGCAATCCATAACATGCACAAGGTTTGTTGGGTTTTGTGGTTTGGGGGGGTGTGGGGGGGTGTGTGTGCCTCTTTCCTTTTCTGAAAATTTGCCAGCTCAAGTTTTCAAGAAACCATTGCTATTTCTAAGGCCTGGCTTGCTCAACGGCAGGTGTGGATGAACCCAGAAGCATCGGCCCAAGAAATCACCGAAAGCAAGTGACCCTGAGGGCTTTTTAGGTTCATTGAGCTCTTAGCAGCCATGTAAAACTGTCCTTTGTTGTTAGCAGGAAAACACCCTCCAGCCCCCCAATATCACTTTCAATCCCCCCCAGGTCCCCAATATCAAGTCGGGGACCCCCCAAGAACTCTCCAGGACAAAACCCACAAGTACAATGTCAGTTCTCAGTTCTTATGGTATGAATGACAATCTTTGTCTAAGGATGGCCAGTTACACAGGAGCTGTACATTCAGTAACACAGAACAGCTATTTGTCACCTTTTTAGCTTTCAGCATTCATGGAAAGACATGCAGTCATCAGTTCCTTTCTGAAACTCGGGAAGCATGGCACAGCAAGGTTTCTTTAAGGCAGAGGAAAAAAGTTTTCCCACTCACTAAGAAACTCTTCCTGCCTGTGGGACACTGTATCCACAGTTCCTTTTAGTTTACAAGGAGAGGAGACAAAGAGCTCAGAAGAAAGAGAAAATGAAAATCATACACTTCTGTGGAACAAAGATATAGTATCTTTCCCCTCATATCTGACTTGGGTGATGTGCTTGAAGAACCTTTTTGCTACCCTCCATTACAAAAAAGTATCATCTTTCCATTTTCAGTACAATTATATATCAGCTCTAGAACAGCAGGAGATCAATATAAAAAGCTGGAAAAAAGCTGGTAACATAAATATTATTCATTTGCTAGGCACCAATATAACACAGTAAACATTATATAACGAGCAATCATTTTCATCTCCCATTCTACTTCTATGTTAAAGGATTCACCAGGGAGCTTTCAGTGTAACCATCAAGCATTCCTCTATATTAACCAGATAGCCTGCTATCTCCCTGCAGGGGTATTTTAATAAATTATCCATTGCCTCCTTCTAGTGTAATAATCTTTTAGCAGATGTGACCCAACATATTAAATTCAATGTTACAAAGAAGTTATCTGTTTTCAGAGGAAAAAATATGTAATTTTTCTTCAATGACAGATTTCACCATGTCACTGAAGTCATGCACAATCACACAACCGCTAGGGTGATTTGTAGTCCAAATCTGGCTAAGCATTAAAATGGTAATAATTCTTTCATGTATCATACTATGGCCTTTCAAGAATAATACTGAGAATTTTCAATAATGGCTTTGGACGTAAGGATAGGCTTTCTATCTAGGACTACTGTCACAGGATTCCTGAAGACTCCCTCAGAGAAAACAGTTTCTACTGTCAAAGCAGCAAGCTAGGAAAAAGTCTTATAAGAACTATGCTAGTTCTTCTGTTGGAGAATAAATAATTACCAGTGACGACAAGCAATCTTATATTTCCTTATTAAAATACAGAAGAAAATAAAGAAAAAAAAAAAGAAGGAAAATATTTTGGAAGTGGTAATGTATTAAATTTATTGTGCAGCAAACTTAATAGATTGCCATGTCATTCAATAAAAGATGCTGAAATAGCTGGTTTATATACCTGTTTTGACATATGAAAACTAAAATCCCAGGCATATTTTGGTTTTATGTTGAAAAGCACTTTGTCATCACCAAAAGCAGTGACAGTCTTTTTTTTTTTTCCCCCACAAAGGACAGAGAAAATCCTTCTGAATAATAATGAATGCACTGCTAGATACCCTTCAGACCACAAGATCATCACATAAAATTTGAGGAATAGTAACCACATGATTAAAGGTGATTGCATCACTTACTCTTGAAGAATGGTTTAAAAATATTTTGTCTTTAATTGTTGGGGTGAAGAGCAACATTTACATCTGCATAATCAAGAACAAAGGGTAAAAAAGGCAGTAGTAAAGAGTTTGCCATTAGAAGAGGGGTACATACTGCTCTGTAAAACATAGCTAGAGAGATAAAACAAATAAATTATTTTCCTTATCCTGACTATGATGATATGGAATAGAAGGCTTAAAATTGCTACAGCAGAAAATTTAGCTTGAA